CAACAATATGTTCAATGACCTTAAATCCATCTTTAACAATGAGATTTGATACATGTGCAGCACATCGTACATGAAAAAAAATCACCATTGTACAACAAAGCATCTCTTGCAAGTAGATTTTCTTTCAAATAATCTTGCATTCTATCATTACTAGAGGCATTGTCTAATGTGAAGCAAAAAATCTTATCATCAATACCCCAGTCTTGAAGCATGGACAATGCAACACAGCAGTATACATGGTTTTTCCGGTGTGTGGTGAGTCAATATGACTGAAATTCAACACTATACTAATTAATTTCCATTTATCATCCACATAATGAGCATTCAAACATAAATATCCCTCTGTTTGACAAGAAGTCCACATATCACATTTCAAAGAGATACGACTAGAGACTTTACGAAGAGTTTCCTTTAATCGAGTCTTCAAAGTTTTATGCATTTTAAAATTAAATAATCAGCTTTAGCAGTATTTCTAGAAATGAAATTTACTTCATCATTTAAATATGCATGAATTTCTCTATTACCATCATGTTCAACCCAAGAAAAAGCATATCCATGTTTTATTATGGCTTTAGCTACCAAGTCTCTATACACCTTCTGGTCAAAGGTCACTTTACCTTTGTTTCCTCCTTGGTTTTTCAAATGTTTCGCATATGCGCTGCATTTTCTAAGATGTCTTTGCATATTTTGGGTTCCATAATGAGCATTGGAAATGAAGGAAGATTTCTGGCAATGTTTACAAATTGACCTTTGTTTCCCATCACTAGATTCTGCCTTGTCAAGTGTGAGGAATTCCAGCCAAATTGAGCTCCGTTTCTTATCTAAAGCAGCAAGTACAGGTTGTATAGTGTCAGCATCCACATTATTGCTTTCAATTGTAACTACAGGTGAAATAGTAACATCGGCTTCTTCCTCTAGTGTACACTCATAGTCTATTTCATCTGGTGAATAAACAGGTTCATCATAAATAATATGATCCATGCTCAAAAAAAAAAAAAAAAAAAAAAAAAAAAAAAAAAGAAGAGGAAATTTGATCATTAGTCCAGTGTTAATTGAATTGACGAATATTTCATGATACAGAGACAGAGTACATATTGTGAGTATATTTAGAATACATCAGATTGCCACAAAATCAAGTTAAAAGAGTATATCAACATGATTTGATAAGATAACTAAATAAGCATAACAGAGTTTAATTGAGAAATATAAGAAAGGCAAAGGAAGCTAGCTGATGATTAAGAGTATTGCAGACAACCTTAAAATCAGCCTGTAATTACAATTAACTAGCGTTTAAGTACCATCCACATAAAACAAAATGCAAAGGATTTTTCAATAAACCAAGAGCAGGGGTGTAAAGAATACTCAGACCTTATACTAAGACAGATTATAGGAGCAAAAATTCAAAACTACTATTAGTTATTTAGTTGTAAAGACTCTAATTTATGAACTTAGACTAAAGACTCTCATTTCTTAAACCAAATAAGGAAACTACTATGAGTTGTAACTACAATAAACTTAATTATTAGATTATCAAATTGTGTTTGGATTTTAACAATTAGAAAAATAGAAAATTCCAATTGCTTTATTATGTCGTGATTTAAAATCTTCTAAAGATAGTGGATTTCCTATTAATCTTCTAAAGTGGATTTCACACTAATTCGTACAGAGGGGGGAAAAATGGAGTACTGACAAGCGCTAAATCGGTCGCACAATCTAGGCTAAGTCAAACACATTTATAATAAACACCTCGCTCAAACAAGTACAATGGCAAGCAAGGGTTCGGTCCACAGAGAACGGGAATCAATTGCTAAATAATCTTAACGCTCAAGCTAAATCGAAATGAAGGTGTAAGTGGTGATTAACTAACAAACTACAACTAAGGATTGAATTCAAGGGATTAAAACACTAGGGGAATGAGATTCACTCAACCAATAACAATTAGGAAAATAGGGAGGAATAAGGATAATGGAATAGCAAAGACCACATGCAAGAACAACTTCAAACGATATGAAAATAACTCATATCACTAAGCTTAGATCCCTCATTAACTTAGCAACAAAAGATACATAATCATATTGTAATAGGTAATGAAACGTTCAACTCACATTTCCATGTCGAACCAAACATTTCATGCTATCAAGTTCAATAATCTAGGTTAATTACTCCTATCATGAAGAACTAACAAGCAATCCCATATAATCCATTTTAATCACAATCCATCATCAAAATCACTAAGCTCGCATAATCACCATTAGGTTGGGTTTCACCCAACCCCTAGCTAAGGAACTACTCACACATCATATTGAAAAGCACAAAATCAAAATCTAGGGTTCTATCTTGCTCAACAATCATCAAAGAGAAATTCACCAAAAATAGTGCTAAACATTCAAATAAACATAAATAGGGACTAAGAGATTCAAATAATCATGCGAAATAAAACAAACAAAGATTAAGAGTAAAGAGAGATAAGAAATGTTACTAAATGAGAAACTTCAAAATCTTGATTGCAATGCTTTTCAAACTTGGAATAATCTTCAAATCAATTATAAAGTGTTTAAATTTGATTAGGAACTAAACAAAATCTAAGAAAAAAATAATGTTTAAACCCTAAAGCACTATTACTAAGCCTTTCTCTCTCTACCCTCTCCCTCATAAATGAGGCAATCAATCTATTTATATTAGTCCAAAATAAAAGGGGGCGGAGAGAACAAGAAACTGCTCTGAATCAGATCGGCACGGACGTGCCAAACACTGCACGGCCGTGCAGCATGGTCAGAAGAGCTGGAAACTGGAGCTGGGGCCTGGCACGGACGTGCCACTATGTGACACAGGCGTGCAGCCAAGGTAGAAGCTTTGACGTGCTCAGCAGCTATCTTGCACGGGCGTGCCACCATCATGCACGGCCGTGCAGCTCCAAGCACGGGCATGTCAATTGCTGCACGTCCGTGCAGCCATCACAGAAGGTTTTGCCAATCTTCAAACTTCTTTGCACGGCCGTGCCAAGCATTGCACGACCGTGCATAGCCCCAAGAGGTCTTCAAATGAAATTCAAGCCTAGCCAAAGATACCTCAAGGCCATGACTTCTTACCCAACCATCGGGGTGTCTCGTAAGGGTCTAAGCATACCTGAAAATGCATCAAAATACTAACAAAACCCGTGAAGCATGACAAATATGAAGAAAGTGTGGAAACAGAGCGATAAGTGAGAAAAATAGCTAGAATATGGCAATAAGTGAGCACTAAATCACCCTAAAACCACGCACTAAAGTACACTGTCAAGTACTGCAGTTGGTAGGATAGTAAGAGAGGATGTTTCAAGCAATCCAAAAAATGACAGAATCCCAAAGCTTCCAATTTCAACAATTTCATAGTAATGAAAAGAGGTGGAACAGAAAAGAGGGAGTGAAGAACAGCGAGAAGATAAGGAAAAGACAACTTCAATGAAAGCCATTTCTAATATAAATATCACTAATTTCATAAACACCAAACCGATAAATACAACCCTAACCAAATTGATACCAACTTACCCAAAATTAATTTTAAAAACCTAATTACAGATAATAATCAAATTTCAGATATAGAAGAGAGAAGAAATTACCTTAGATTTCCCCACAATAAATGACGCAAACACTTGATCCCGAGGTGAAGAAGAATTGGTGAGGATCTAGCTTGGTAAGTGAGATGGAGTGAGTAAAGAGAGAGAATTGAGTGAAAAACAAGAATGACAGAACAAATGAGGGGTTTTGGTGTTTTGGGTAGAATGCTTTGTTTTTTGTTTTTTGTTTTTCAGGAAATTTTGGGTGGGTATAATGCTTTCTGCCTCTCTCTTAGTTAGTGGAGTACTGGAATATGATATTTTTACTTTTTTTTTGTTATTTTTATTTATTTTGGTAAATTTGGAGTAATAGACAAGGAAGGAGTTTTCCCGCTAGTATTTCACTATTTTGGTTCTTTTAAAATGAATTTTGCTTTTGGAGGGATGAATTTCCCAAAAAAAATTATTCATTATGGTGGTAAGTTTCCCTCCTAAATTTTCACTTTTAACTTTTGTTTTTTAATGATAAACATGTCTAATTGTAACTTTATATCTGAATGTCTTGCTAATTAAATTTAAAAATGTAATATTGTTTGCAACAATTACCCGGCATGTGGTCGTCGGTCACTAGACATATTTAAATTTAATTTTTTCTCTTACAAACATACATATAATACGCAACAATGATCGTATATCCTTAAAATACTACATAAATAAATTTATTCATTACATTAGTTGTAGTGTTGTATAACTATATAAATTATATAATTGAGTAATAGATAAGCAGATAGTAATACGAGCGTAGAACAACCTATGAAGTAACCTATACTAAAGACATGCCTTAAACTAAATAGCCTTGTTATGATTTTGGCTTAATATAAATAACTGGAATTAGATTGACTTAATAGGTTTTAACAATAAGCTAATAATACCTTAATGGTGTTAATTTGCTTTATTATTACTCAAATCCTACAAAAAGCGTTTCTATTATAGCATCGTCTTACATAATAACATATAATTTTGTAATTCATAAAGAGTTCCACTAAATTAATTAGGAACTGACGCTTAGTCGCTTATTGTTATTGTTACTCACTTTTCTTTTTTTAAGTGCTTAACTGAGACTCTTTTTTTTTTAAACATCTAAATTGGGATTTCATACTCTATTATAATTTGAGTTTATAATCAATGTTAGTAATTTATTCATAAGAAAAAATATAGTCTACTAAACTCTACTTTGTAAATACTTATTGAGATAATGAGATTGTCGCATTGAATAGTTTGTTAAGATTCAACTATTTTATTTGTATACTTATTGATAATTACAAAATATTATTTGTCAAAGTTTTGCACGCATCTGCATTATTGCATAAGTGTCCAATGAAAATGGAGTACGTAAATAAAAACAAAGGGAGTATTATAGATAATAATAATAATAATAATAATAATAATAATAATAATAATAATAATTAATGTTACAATATTCTTGTAATAATGATGACAACAATAACAATGATATTAACATAAACAACTATATTTCCTATATAAAAAAAAAAAAAAAAAACAAACTAATAATTAATCCGTATAAAAATTACAAATCTACTAATTTAAGCTTAATTGCTTGACTCAAAGTATCGACCTGAAATGACCCGACCCAAAGTCGACCCGACCCAAACTTGACCGGACCCGATCTTGACCCAACCCAAACTTGACCCGATATATGGACTTGAATTGACCCGACCTGAACTGACCTGACCCGAACTCTCGACCCGACCTAGAGTCGACCCGAAGTATTGACCCAATACCCGACCTAACCTGATAACCTATTAACCCGAACTTGACCCAAAACCCGAAATGACCCGACCCGAACATTTGCTGACCCAAATTTGACCCGACCCATACCCGACCCGAATGACCCGTTTGCAGGTCATTATGGAGTATATTATTTGAACTTTTTTTTCTTAGTTATGACTTTTTACAATCTTAGCATATTGAACATAGTAGAATCATTACCTTGATATTTATAACCAAACTTGTATACTTCAAATTTCCTAAAATAAAGTTATCTATCTTTTTTTTTTTTTTTTTTGAGGTAATCTGAAGTTTATTTTCTAAACATGATTGATTTGATTTTAATTTTGAAATAAGTAGAAATAATGTAATTAATTGATACGGCTTTAAAAAGTTGAAGGTATCATGTAGAATTTTTTTTTTTTATTTTTTTTTTTATTTTTTTTTTTGTGGTATATATTTATAGATATTAGATTATCAAAGTTATTGAGCACTTATTAGTAATCAAAGTTATACGCTTTGATTTATCAAATATGTCAAGTCAATAAGCTCGATAATACGGTACAACTCTAAAATATATTGAAAAAAAAAAAAATCCACTTGGTAGTTTAAAAGAATAAAATTGCAGGTATTTTAGTGGCTAATACCATTAGCTACTAATAATCGTCCTAATAGTATGACTTATTAAACCATAAATGTCACTTTCGAAAGATTAGGTGATGCCCACAATATCAAGTCGCGATTTACTAATTTCTAAGTAGTCACATTGCCGTTGACCGACTAAACAACCTTCTTCTTTGCTAGTCAAATAATATCCTACGTATTAAACATGCAAGTAATGCAACTAATTTTATACATCAATAAAAGAATGGAAACATTATCTATATTTATTACCTTCACGATTTCTTATTCCATTCAGTGGCGGACCTGGGCTTGTGTCTGGTGGGTCAAGTGACTCACCAGGGCCCAAAAAAAATTTTAAGTTTTTTTTTTTTTTTTTTTTTAAAAATAAAAATAAAAAATTCTAACGTCTGAGTTAGCCCTAGCCCACTTCGCCTCTTCCTCTTCGCAAGTTCGCATCTTCCTCTTCGCCTCTTCCTCTTCCTCAGACCTCAGTTCCTCTTCGCTAGTTCGCTTCATCTTCCTCTTCGCATAATTTCAGGTTAGTCATCTACTCATCTACTCATCTTTCAGCTTTTTTTTTATTTATTTATTTAATTGTTGATATTACTTGTTAGTTGTTAGTTATGAATTATGATTTAGTAATACTAAATTTGAACCCTAAATCCCTAATTGTTCAATAATCAACTCAATTTCAGAGAATTTTGCATTATCTGAATTGTGAATTTGTGAAATGTTTGAACCCTAAATCCCTAATTGTGAATTTGTGAAATGTAAAATGTTAGTTATCAACTCAATCCCTAATTGACTAATTGTTCATAATCTACTGCTCTTCGCTAGTTTGCTCACGCCTCCAGTGCTGGCTGTGCTACTGGCCTGCTGGCTGCTGCTCGCCTAGTCGCCTGCTCCAGCCTCCAGTGCTCTGTGCAGCTGTGCTCTGTCCTCTGCTGCTCGCCTAGTCGCCTGCTCCAGTGCCTAGTCGCTGACTTGCTGTCTTGCTGAGTGTTGGGCATGGCCCTGCTGCAGTGCTGCTCCGCTGCTCGCCTCAATCATTCAGCGCCTGCCGCCTCCGCCTAGCAAGGTAGGTAATCATCAATTGATTTTTTTTTTTTTTGTGAATTTTTTATCAAATTTGCATTACTTGTCTCTTAAAATTAGTATATACGGTGAATGTTCATTGAATTTGCATTATTTGTGCAAATTGTGTTTTGACTGTTAAATTGAACTTATTAGTTTATCTGTTTATGTCATTATGTGAAATTGTGAATATGTGATGCCGGACATTGTATAAGACAGCAATTAAACTATTAGTGTAAGGAGGATTATAAATTTATAATTAGATTACAGTTTGGACTGGTTAGTGCTTAGTGGTGCTAGTCGCATATTCGGCTGGAAGTTCCGTATAGACTAGTGGAGATATTAGTTTGTTGATTTTAGTCTTGTCAATTTTAAGCTTTTTAATTATTAGTTAGTATTGTAATCTTGTCAATTTTCTATTTGGATGATCTTTGTAAATAATTTTTCTGGGGAATATTGCTTGATTTAGTTGAATATTGCTTGATTTAGTTGAATATGAACCGTCCAACCAATTATGAATAGGGGTAATTCGCTGTTGGGGTTATTTGCATATGATTCATACTTGTGATTTCATTTGTTTTGTTAACTTTGTGTTTGATTAGGTTGTTGAATTTATATGCAGGGAAGACTCAACTTATCAATCATTTTCTAATCAACAAGAGTTGGTATATTGTTAATTTGCCTGGATATGGGTGAGTCTCTGTAATTTTGGTTTTAATTTGGGCAATTTCTGTAATTCTTGAGTCTATTTCATGCTGGGAATATTGTATACTTGTATTGTGAATCAATTGTTATTCGTGTTTATTCCTGATCATATGCTTGAATCATATTGAAGTGCCAAAAAAGGATTGCTTTTACGCCTTGAGGCATTGCTTCAAAATTATTGATCATCCTGTAAAACATGTTGCGGACTGATATGTATTTAGGCTACATCCGTTGTAGTTAATTTGGTCTCCAATCGTGTTGTTTATTTTCAAGTTTAGGAAGTAAATGTCTCCTTACATGTCATTGTGAAATTTTATTTTACATATTTGATTATCGATTGTGACTCACCAGTCGGAAATTCGGTCCGCCACTGATTCCATTGCACAACTTTAATATATACTCGGTACTCCATATAACAATGTAATTGAAACATTTTTAATTTGTTATTATTGTAATGTTTGCACTGTACACGAGTTATAACTATATAATAGTATTTTAACCATATACTGTAATTTATACATTAATATATATGGAGTAGCACTTAAGGGAAAAGACATTGAATCTAGTTATAGATTCTTCTTGATTTATAATTTTATGAGTAATATATAAATTAAAATTAAATTTAAAATTAAAAAATTAAGGTTTTGCATGTTTGTGCTTTTAATGTGATTTTATTTACTTTGAATAATTTCATTTACTTTTACTATTTATTCTTTTACTTTTGAAATAAGTTAATGAAACGTGGAAGAGAGAAAATATATTAATATTGTCATTCAACAAAAAGAGAGAGGGGTAAACTAATTAGACGAAATCTCAGCTGCACTCTACGTTCCTTAATCCCTCAATTTTACTTCTTTTGTTTCAAAATTACAGTTATGACATCCTAGGTTGGTTCAAAAAAAGTTACATTTTACTTTTCATTTTAAGATATATGATAGAAAGTAATCCATATTAATTCAAAAGTAAATTTATTTTATAACTTAATATTAGTTACAAAGTATATATATATTATAATTAAATATTAGTTATATATTATACTACTCATTTTAATCAATTTTTCTTACTTTGTATTATTTTCTAAACAATAGATAAGGCCACGATTTTACTACGGAGTATTGTTTTCTTATAGTATTCCACTTTTTTCATTTACTCCGCATTTCTCATACTTTTTGATTAATTTTTTTATCACGCATGGTAAAAAAAACTATCTTTATCTGATCCCGAAACGAAGAAAGTAATTATGAAATTAAGCTAGTTAACTATCATTGCTAATGGAGACAAGATCCTAACAAAGATTTGTTGGTCCATAAGGTTAATTGGTAGGGTGCAACGATTATGAATTCAAAAGAAAGAAAGTCGCAGTACACCGTGCGAGATTCTTTTTTCTATTGCGTAGTTTGTTCTTGCGTTGTTTGCACCTTTGCCTAACGTGCATTATATATTTATATGGGGCTTGATTAAGTATGGCTTTATTTAAATAAGTGAGATCATCACCTAATTCATTTTCATAACGTATATACATTGGCAATGCAATTTGATTCCTATAAGTATATATACACAACTAATATAATTAAGCTAATTGATGCCCAATTTTGAAACAGTTGATTGATCTAATTTACATGGTGATGTTATTAGAGCAAAATGGAAACTTAATAAACATAGGTAATTTCATGTGAAGAGGAGCGGCAATATAATAACTCGTTTATGAGTCATCCTACATAAAAGAAGAAGATAGAATTGAAATAAAGTTAATCTACCTATCACTAAAAGAGTATTAGGATAGATCCTCACTCAATTGGATTTGTAAGCAATTTAATTATCCTACTATAAGAAAGTTTAACAAGTAATTTACAAATAGAGTTATGATAATTATAATTTTTCTAATGATTAAAGAAACAACAAACCTAACCGTCTTGTGTGCTGCTAGCCACGTCGTGTGGCCACTTGTAAAATAACAAAGTAATCCCTAAAACATTGATTGGGTAACTCCTATAACATTGATTGAGTAACTCTTATAACACTCACGAAGTAACCCCTGAACACTGATCGGGTAACCCTATAACACTAATGAAACTTCTATGATGGCTGGCCGCATAGCCATATATAAGAATTTGTGAAGATTTATTATTATTATTATTATTATTATTATTATTGATTAAAAAAAAACCCTAAGATTAATTAGATCATCAAAAAGAATAAAAGAAGATGTATATACATATTTTTTTTTTCTTTTCCTTTATTTTCTACATAGTATTACAAGATAAAGAATATATTCTAAAGAATGAAATCTTAATTAAGAAATCGTTTTACATACAAAAACTATTGAGTATCCTTGCAATTATGCCTCTAATTATTTAGATCATACAATTAGTTTAGCTGGTAAAATTTTGATAGGCTATCTATTGTACTCAAAATCTTAGATTAAGTCGCATCGACAAAATTACGATAGGTGACTTTACAAAATCCATTATACCAAAAAAAAGATAATGTTGCCATATATAGAGCATAGTAGTCAATAGTAATAATTGGGTTTCCTTTGAAGGCAACGGATTCTCATCAATCTTGAACAGGTGAAGCACGAGATTGATGAACTTGCACTCTAAGCAGGACCATAACATAACATAAAGATTTTATCTTTAATAATGAAAAGGACTTCCAAGTCATTCTTCACGATTGGTTAATTTTAAGCCTTTTCTTTCCAAATCCTCTAAAGATTTTGTTTTGATTGAACGTATGGAATTTGGATGCTCATCACTGTAAAAAAAAAAGCCCATGAATTCATTTTGCTACGGTCAATGATAATCATGTGATATACATTAATTATGATGATCCCACTCAATTTTTGTCACTCACAAAAATTAAATTGTTCACATTTCTATTCATTAGTACTATGTAATTGACTTTTGATTGATCTTGCATATATATAAAATAAAAAATAAAAGTCACTCGTATTGAGAAGAAAGAAAAAAGAAAGAAGAGATTGAATGAATAAAAATCGATTTATATATATACAATACGAGGTGTGATGAGAATCAATTTGATGAACAATCTAATTGAAATTAAGGGTGTTTTGTTAGATGAATTTGACTTGCCTAAACCTATCTTAATTCATTGGAAGTTATGTGATGATTTAATGTAATTGACTAGTTGTGAATTGTTAGAATGTAATGGAATATTCCAATATACTTCATTTATTTAAAAAATAATAAAAAAATAAATAAAAAAAATCATGTTTTTATGCACAATATCCTATTTTTAATTCAATACTCATATAATTAATAATTTATTTATTTTATTTATTCCTTTATCCTCTTATACTTTTGATTATTTATCAAAAAAATTGTTTTTAATCGAGACATATCTAACATGTAAGATAATTTTTTTTAGAAACGAAGGGAATATGATTTATCTAAACTTGTTGAAACTAATAAAACCTATCTATCTTACCTTATCTTGAACTTTTATAATACTTGTATAAGCTTATCTTGGCTTTGATTATGCAACAGATTTGCAGCGAAAAAGAATTTATACGACCGAATTGGGGGAGCTAGCTACCTAACAATTTGTTGGGGGTAATACATAATTATATAAAAGACAACAAGTATGGAATTAAAAAATTATGCAAATTGCACAACAAATATTTTTCCTAAAAGAAGTTTATTTTATAAGTTGGGATTTGGGCTTCTTCAACCTTTTGAGCATATAATGATAACCTAGTGCATTGAACATAGCCAAGCGTGTATGTATCATGTGTTGTTATTTTGTTAATTTAATTAAATAATCTGTATGTCATGTGTTATAGACTTGTAGTACTTGTCGAGGATCATTAAACTAATTTTGTGTTTTATTCCAATATAACTTTTAATAATTATGTGATATGGAATCATAGTAAATTCCCCGAGATCGGGTTTAAATTGTTTTTTTACTTCATATTTAGAAATAATTTAATAATAATTTATTATAGATGGTACGAAGTAACATGTAGATCTTATTTTATTTTATTTTATTTTATTTCATTTTTTTATGACGCGGATTTTTATTTCAGTGTTTATACATAATTTTTTATACATTAATTTAAGCAGAGTTTACTTTTAATTAGTTGCTGAACAATGGTAACAATATTTAAAAGTTAAATTCTTCAAAAATATGTTAATAATCATTGAATAGCTCAATATTTAACTTTCTACTAATCTAATTATATCTTATTGCATTCAAGTATATATTTAAGGTAGAAAAATGAATTGAACATAATACATAAGATAAAGTTTGACTAGTAAATTGTACTCACTACAAAGAAAAATAAAATAATGGTAGAAATTAAATAAATAATTATCATTCTCTTGTACGGACCAAGTTGTAATAGCATTAGCAATATAGCACACAAGATGCGAGTCTTTAGAATTTTTCATGTGGGTCGGGCTAATGGTACTCTCTAGTCTCTACTACTCTAAAATAGACCATAATTAGTTGGTTGAATTAAATTACTTACTTTTAATTTTTTTTATGTTTTTTAAAAAAATTATACAATTAAGGCATTGTTTTTCTTAAGGTAAGGGTTTGGGTGATACATGAATGCTTTCGTATTTGATGCTTTTTCATTAGGTTAAAGGTAAACTAGTCTAGGTAAGAGACGAAAGATTATGTTCAATCACATATAAATTTAATGAATTTTCAACTTAAAATCAATTGATGATGGATTTATGGCGACATGGTGTAGCCCAACAGACTTATCTGTTGGTTATCCTGTTTTTCTCTTCTTTAAAGTTTGATAAGGGGAAAAAAAATCAATTGTACCACGACCACCATCCATAAGGGTACTAACAGTAGCCACCAAACCTACACTTACCTAGAGGTGTCAATTCGGATAATCGGATGGAGTTTGTGTCGGGCTTATTCGGGTCAAATATGTTTGGGTTAAAATTATTCTTTTAACTCGGATCGGGTCGGGTCAGATCAGATCCGGGTCAAGTCAAATTTGGGTCATGGTCTATTGAGTGCGGGTCGGATATGGGTCGGGTCAACTCCAAATCGGTTCATGTTCTGTTCAGATAAATTTGAATCGGGTTCAAAACGGGTTTGACAGGGTTAATTTCGGGTCGGATGAAATCGGTTCGGTCAAGGTCGATTTGATTAAGATAAGGTTGATTCAGTATCTGGTCAATTTCGATTCAAATCCTTTCCGTGTTTGTCTAAATTTTGGTCGAGTTGACTAAAATCAATATTTAAATAAGGTCCTTTTTAAACTAGAGTAATGATTGAATTTTTACCTTATTATTGGATCGATATCAAGTCATTCATGTG